GAGGGTACAAATCTCCACGGGGAGATCGTTCCAAAGGGTCGGAGCTACTACTGAAAAGGCTCTCCTCCGTGTAGTTGCCAGTCGGCACTGACTAGAAGACCTCCAAGGTCCCTTCCAACTCTGTATTCTGTTATACTGTAGTTTTTTCTAAGATGAAATTCTCCTGATAGAATGGATTATAACATCTCTTATGCTAGTTTAAGATAATTATCTTATCTATTATGCTATGCCAAAGTCATTTACTAGTACATTGTTCAACCAAATTAAAGATGCCAATGGGTCAGGAACAATACAGTTGAAGGGAGCTAGTGATGGTGGGCAGGTTTCAAATTAAATTCATTGAACTTTGAATCGAAGAGAATTTAATCAGTGGGACAAGTTAACTATGAGTTTTGATGGACCTGAAGTTCAATAGTCAGGATCTAAACCCCTAAATGTAGATTATCATTGATGTATTTCTTCCCTCCCAATCCATTGTGGCCTAGTGATGAGGAGTATAAACTAAGCCCCATATATTAATTGTGTTAAATTATGTTTAAAAATCATGGCTCTCATTATGTTTATTGTTGTCAGTATATTCAGCACTGTTTTGATTGGTTGACATAGATAAAAGTTTTGATCTATCATTTAATGTATGTCATAGTTCTTTTAGTTTAGATACTGTATTAAGACACTAACTGATTGCAATATATTATTTTAGCATTTTTATAAAAGGTGCAGATTTATTGCATTAGTTGTAAGTGCATTATAAGCAAAATAATAACTACCATTACAACTACTACTATACAACATTTGATAGAAACTAGAGAGGGACTTTTCTACACTCTGTAAATGTAATGCTAAGAACGTGACCTGGGAATTCTCTCTCCCGGTTTGCTTGTTACCCAGTTCCGGGTTTTATCCTTCTAATGGGGCTTCGGGCATGTCTTTTCAGGAAGAGGAGGAACAGGAAGAGGATGATGATGAAGATGAAGATGATACTGATGACCTAGATGAGCTGGACACTGATCAGTTGCTGGAGGCTGATTTGGAGGAAGAAGAGAACAATGAGAATGCAGGTGAGGATGGAGAAAATGACTTCTCCCCTTCTGATGATGAGGAAGTGGCCAACCTGCTGGAAGAGGGAGACGAAGGAGAAGATGACGACTCTGATGCAGATGAGGAAGTTGAGCTGATCCTTGGTGATAGTAAGTATGCACAGGTCTTCTAGAAATTATTTTGATTCTACGTGATTTATGTAGGCCAATCTAGCCACAAAGTAAAGTGTGACAATAAGGGAGAAAGCAACAAAAACAGAAAATTATGGCAATAGCATAAATAACAGAATGAATGATTGTGTGCATTTATTTGATGTGATTCAATCAACGAGGGCCAAAAGGATTATAAAAATTTAAAAATACTGAACTTTTTGTTGAATGCAAAGAGGGCACATGCTGTGCTTTCTGACAGGGAAGCCAGTTCTAGAACATGGGGATCAGTGCTGCCTAATCCTTGTCCCATATGCAGAGGAGAGACTCTCAGCAAGCCCTCTCAAGAGGTTCATAATCAGTGTTGGCAAGGCAGGCCTAAGATAAGCTAGCATTGCGTCAGACAAGGCTGTGTGGATCATTACCAGCACTTTGAATTGCACCCCCTTCTTTGGTAGCTATTAGGATCAGTGTTGCCAGATTTTAAAAATATTTTTATCCCATCTTTATTATTTTTATAAATAATTCAAGATGGCATACATACCTATTACGCTTCTTTCTCCTCCTACTTTCTTTACAATAACAACCCTGTGTGGTGAGTTGGGTTGGGCTGAGAGAATGACCAGCCCAAAGTCACCTAGCTGGCTTTACTGCCTAAGGCAGGACTAGAATTCCCAAGCTCCTGGTTTCTAGCCTGATATTTTAATCACTATACAAAACGGGCTCCACCCGAGTGCCACAGTATTTTTAGCTGAAGAGCAATTCGGTTTTGGGAGGATTTAATCAGAGCTTATTTCAGCTTATCCACATTCTAACTGCTTTTAGATATAGGGTCAGTTTTTCCATTGTATCTACAGGTTGGCCAAGGGTGGCAATGTATTATTAAGTGTCTTCGGAAACCAATGATGCTGGCAGATGTGTCCTTGGTAATTTCATATAGATCTTAAATAACATAGTAGAGAGTACCAAAGATGGAGCACCCACATCCTTGATGATAATTTTGCCTTTTCTTGGGAAGAAGATATCCTTCCCTTTGTCTACTTGCTGTGTCTTAGCCCAATCACTATTAATTTTGGACTAGAGAAAGCTATATTAAACATCCAGCAGAGGAGAGTCTTTGACTTGAACCTGCCAAAGATAGATTGGGAGTCTCAGACTATTTGCTATTCCAAATAATTGAGCATAAAAAGATACATACAACAGCATTATTCCTGAAGGTGTTGAAGGGGAAGTTCAGTAACACCATGTATTTCAAATGCCTCAATTTGGAGACCATTAAGACTGTTTCAGCCATCTTGCTATGTTGTTCCTTGTACTACATTTCACACTCTAGCATTTCCCTCCTGAAGTGCAAGAGATGTTCTTTCTATTGGCTGATTAAGTTACAAAAATCTCCTTGAGAGTTGTTAGGCTTTGTTTAGTTATGCTTTCTGCTAGAAAGTGCAAAGTTTGAAATGAATGGTCTGGTTAGCTATGCCTTGGGCCGGGCGAACCTTTTTTGGCTCGCGTGCCATAAGCGGGGGGAGCGCAGAGGAGTCATGCGTGGGCGTGCCACACCTATAATGCAATGTGCAACCCCCTTGCGTGCATGTGTGCATGACAGGCACCCCCCCATTTTTGCATGCTTTTTTCGCCGTCCCCAGGCTCCAGGGGGTTTATAGGAGCCTGGGGAGGGCGAAAACAGCCTCCCCCGCCCCCCTGGAGGCCCCCCAGAGGCTTCAGGAGCTTCCCTGAAGCCTCTGGAGCGCAAAAAAAACGGCCCTATGGGCACACCAGAAGCTCAGGTACGGACTTCTGGTTTCTTGTTGGGTTGTTTTTTGTCCTCCGGAGGCTTCAGGGAAACCTCCGGAAGCCCCCTGAAGGCTCCGGAGGACTTAAACTGGCCCCACGAGCAAACCGAAGTCCGTTTTCGAACTTCCGATTTGCCTGTAGGGCCGGGGTTTTTTTGCGCTCTGGAGGCTTTAGGGAAGCTCCTGAAGCTTCTGGAGAGCCTCCGGGTGGTGGGCTACTTTTGCCCTCCCCAGGCTCCTATAAAGCCTCTGGAGCCTGGAAAGGGCGAAAAATGGGTTTAAAAAGACTGAACTTAGCTGGCCAGCGTGCGTATGTGCGCTGGCCAGCTGACATGGCAACGCCTCGCGTGCCCTGACAAATGGCTCCGTGTGCCCCCTGTAGCACGGATGCCATAGGTTCGCCATCCTGGCTTTGGGTGAAAGACTAATCTTTTTTTTTTTAATCTGTAACTCCTACATATTAAATAACTCTCATTATTGAGTTATTTTGTATTCATTTTTTTCTTTGTTTATTGACCATAAATCAGTGTACCACTAGTCCTGATCATAATAGTTATTAAAAAGATAGCAATGGAAAGAATGTGTAATAGAGGAGGAAATTAAAGGCATGTGATTAGTTAAAATGTCAAAGGAAAACAAGAAAACCAAATGTCTATTTTGAGGTATGTGAGGAGGAAAAAAATAGCACAATAATTCCCTGTCAAATATGACATAGCTTTTTATTGCTTTAAGTTGGTCTGGGAATTTCTGGTAAAATGTTCCACTTTGTATTACCTTTTTGTTGTTGTTGGATTTAAAAAAAAGTTTTAAGAAGGATGTTGCTGGGGGCTTTCCTAGCCTCTTCCACTGGAGTGCACAAATGGAATTTTATCTCGAAAGTTTTTCAATCCTGCATATAAAACCTCTGGATGGATCACCAAATTCTGCCTGAAATGAGATTTATTGGTATAGCTTTTGAAAGTATCTTTATATTTTTATGAATCAAAAATAGCACTCTAAAACAGGGGGGACAAATTTGCGTCATCATGGAGGCATCACATGATGTATTGCTACTTCCTCCCCTTTGTTTAACCAGGCATGGGCGTGGCCAGTGCGTAACACATCTGGCCTGTGGGCCACAAGTTTGATAGCCCTGCTCTAGAGCATCCTTTTCCATGAAAAATTCCAGGGGAAAACTGTAACGATTAATTAATAACAATGATGAAAACAAAATAATAGTAGTGCCAAATTCTTCATGTTGCAAATGATTCGGTCGTAGAAATTGAACATTTCTCTCTTCCAACAAAACCACAGTATAAAGTAGGGCTGCACTGGTTGGAAATTCTAGGATGGGAATAGATTGGGGAAAGACCATAAAATGTGTTGTTAATAATGTCTTCATTCCTTTCAAGTGTAAACCACCTTTTCTGTATCTCTAACAAAAACAAGAAATGTTTCATAGCTGTTTAAATTGTAGTATTTCATGTGGACAAGGTCATCTTGATTTATCAAGCCTTGATAACTGAATATTTTTAACAACTCATTGGTCACCTTTGCAGCCGACAGCTCAGATAACTTGGATCTGGAAGATGACATAATTTTGTCTCTGAATGAATGAGGCGCAGTCTTCCTCCGGGACTTTGGCAGCAGAGGAGCTCCCGACTCGGAAGCCAGGAGAGCCAATCAAGAGGTGAACACCGAGCACCCTGTCAGCTTCTTCTACTTGGCAGAAATCCAGTCCTTCCAGTTTTCAAGTGGACAGACATGGGCTCAGGATAGGCCCAGAGTCTTTCTACAGAGACCAGGGGTTTGGCCTTTATTTTCTCTGCCTTTTTTTTTTTTTTAGTCATTTTTTTTTAGGCCAAGACACAACTTCTCCAGGAAGACTTCTGAAGATATTTCACAGTATATTTTCTTTGTATAAAGTTCTTTCCTAAAGAACAGAAATAGTTTTATATGAGACAAACAAGCAAAAAAAAAAAAAGGATAAAAAAAACCAGGCAGGTATTATAAAGAAGGTGTGACTTTGTAACCTTCTAAAATTTAATTACCCAACTGGATTTCTGGGAGATAAAAAAAAAAAAAATAACAAAGGGCATTTTTACTGAAGAGTGGGGGGGAAATGAATCATGGATTGTGAAACAGTGGACGAGTGATTTTTATTTTGAACATGATTTTTTTAATGGAGTTGTTGCTACCTGCTGTGAAAAGGTCATTTATTTTTGGGGGGTCCTATGCCTCTTGTCCTGCCTAAAGCCCAGTGAGGGCTCCTGCTGCAGGAGCCTTGGTGGAGGCCTGAAGGTCCAGTTTGATCTCGTTAAGAACCCGCCGTTGCTGGAGATGAAGGACTCTGGCTTGCAAGTCTCCCTCCACCTATTGCCACACACCCCTTTCTTTTTGACGTTGGCATTTTTAATCCTCTCCCCCCCCCCTTGCCCTTCTGCCCTCTGTGAAAATTAAAAATTGAAATCCTTTTTCTTCAATGTAAATTGTATTTATTAAAAAAAAAATAAAAAAATGAGATTCAAGTCCTGTCTGTTCATAACTCTGAGCTCCTGTCACATTGCTTGCCACCTTGTTCCAAGAGAAGATAATGAAGGCAATAAGTTACTTAAAATATGGGTTATGGAGATAACAAATGCTGCCATATTCATGGGAATATAACTGAAGTACAATGCGTAGTCTTTGAGAAACATTTGAGAGTTGTGCTCTCTGGACTTCTTTAACAAAAGAGCTCACAATGAACTCTTACCAGGAGAATGGTACTTATGGGAGAATTCTGATCTCCAGTTGTGCATGGCCAACGCCAAGATAATTTGAAAACCGAAAAAGTGAACTCTTGCAGAGTTTTCCTTCCATTCCCTCCCTCCCTCTACAATTAAATCTAAAATTACAGCAACAGTAAGATTGATAAATAATGCAAATACATAAAGATCTATACAGAGGTTGGAGCTGTTGGCTTCTTGTTTCTGGTCTCTGATGTACTTACATTATAGCATCTCTACAAATTTTTGCAGTAGCTCTACAATGTAAATCAGCATTTATCTTCCACTTTGTAGATAAGAAGTCAAAGCCAAGCAGAGTTTATAGCTCATTCTTAGACATTGCTCCAGCCTTTTTGAATTAAAAACGTTGAGCTTCGTATGTACTGAGGCTTAACCTATGAATAACATCGTTTTTAAAAGTTCACACATTTCCTCTAGTTAGCTTATTCCAAAAAAAATTATTTTAATAAATGAAGATTTTAATTGATTCTGTTTAAAAATTGCATTATGAACACATTTGTTCAATTGACTAGTACTACGGTCGGAAAGCCTGCTAGACATGCCTTGGCCAGACATGGGTTTAACTTAGTTCCAGCAAAATGCATATCAGCAGACTGCCTTAATTTTTTTATTTGGCCAAGAGTGGTGCCCCTCCAGTTTTTTTCTTAATAGCTGATTAATCTGGTTTGTATTAATGCGCACGATTAGTCAATCAATGAAATGTTCAGATTTGCTTAGGTGATAATCACGTTCAGTTTAACTAATTAAGATATAGGCAAATTGCTTATCTCAGTTATATAACTGATCTAAACCTTCCTTAAACTTGCCAAATACAAATATAAACAATATGATTAGACTAAACCACATTGCACATTGCAATGCAATATCTAAGGTTTATTCTCTACCTATAGCCATAGTTTAAAAATGTTGGCTTTATATAAGCCACTATACCACCATAGGGTAAAAAAGAAATGCAATTTGTTAGTTAGGAAGAATTAATAAGTGATATGTGTCGTACTAGTATATTCCTTATTCAATACAATACAATACAATACAATAGCAGAGTTGGAAGGGACCTTGGAGGTCTTCTAGTCCAACCCCCTGCCTAGGCAGGAAACTCTATACCGTTTCAGACAAATGGCTATCCAACATCATCATTTAGTGTTTGTTCATAGAAGAAGCTTAACTACAAGTTGTAGATACAGTCGATTTTGTAAAAATGAAGATATGAGTTTGTTACAAAGCCACTATTACATGCTAAAGCCAACAAAATATTTGAAATTGAGAAGGTTGTGTAAACTACCAACCCCTAAAAGTAAAGCAAAAACTTCAGAGAGCTGTTTGTACGTTGAAAACATTTGTTCACAGCCTAACCGGACTTCGTTAAACTTTCACCTAATTTGAGCAGATTTACAATCTAGGATCTCAAATGAAATAAATGTAGATGCATGGTGATTAAAAATGCCAGTTTGAGGTAAACAAAATTATGGAATGCTTTACAAAATTGAGATAATTACTGTATATCTTTACTTCTATTTACAGTAGTTTCCTTTCTAATGCCTTCTAGTCATTGTTGATTCCTGGTAACTGGACAAGTTCCTGTACTTTTCTTGGCAAGCTTTTTCTCAATTGCCATTGGCTGACTGAGTGACAGGCCAAAGGTCACCAGGTTAGCCTTGTGCCTGAGGAGTTACTAGAACTAATGTTTCCCCAGTTTTAGCTAGGGCCTCTGTACTTTCTACTTAGCTTATTTCCCAGGATCAGGTCGTCGTCAGATTTCTTAAATACCGTATTTAAAACCATCAAGATTTTGAAGAGGTAAACTTTAAAATATAGTTTTTGCACTCCGCAGGCCTCCCAAAGCCTCTGCATGCCCCCCCCCCTTTTATTTTTGCAAAAAGCAGGGCGTGCAGAGGCTTTGGGAGGCTTGTAGTGCTCCTGGGGGACAAAAACAAGCAAAAAACAGCCCATTTTTTTTTGCAAAAAAACGGTGTGCAGAGGTTTTGGGAAGTTTGTAGAGTGCTGCTGGGGGCTGGGGCAAGAAACTGCCTATTTTTGCTCGTTTTTGCTCTCCCTAGCAGCACTTTGCAGGCCTCCCAAACCCTCTACGTGTCCATTTTTTGCGAAAAATGGGATGTGCAGGGATGAGGTTTCGGGAGGCCAAAAATGCTGTATTCAAGTGTATAAGATGCACCCAGATTTTCACCCTCTTTTTTGAGGGGAAAAAGGTGTGTCTTATATCCAAAAAATACGGTAATTGCTCATACTGTTTCACATCAATAATACAGGGATTGAAGTATAGAAGCCCAAGTAAATGAAATACACTTCATTTTATGTAGGTTTAAAAAAAGAAAAATATGGGTTTAAAATTTACCTCATGGTTATTAATATTACTATTATTTGTATGGCTGCCCAACTCTGGATGGCTCACAACATTAAAATATACATTAAAATATACATATAAATATTTGGAAATAGCACAAAACAGTTGCCACTTCATGTTATAATATAATTTGCATAGTTTTTAGAAACCTTTTTTCCCCAGAATTGATTAAAAAAACTTCTTTAAAGTCTATTTGCAACACCTTTTATGATTTTCAATGGTTGTACGACAGAAACCTTTCATTAAAATTATTTGCTCGTTGATAGTAGAGAGTGATTTGTTCACGCCAATGCAGTGGGTATCCTGTTTACAGCAATATAGATTACCCTCAACACCATTTAGCAACTTCTATGCAGTAAATTACTGTTACTTGAAATATTCAGGAATATTACCACTGTAAAATTGCATATCAATATGTTCTCGTGACATGTGTTTTCACATTTTAAAGAATTAGCAATTTAGATACAAATGCCTATGACATTGAAAATAAGAAAAACCTTTAGAAGAGCAATGTTTATATTAGATAAACCTATCTTTTTCAACCTTAATGTTAGACATTACAACTCGAGAATTTTCAACCAAATGTTTTGTAGTCCCAGCACATCTAGTTTGAAGGAGTCTGATCTGTTCCAAACTAGCTGTTTGAACAAGCTTAAGATTTTGGAGTGTGACAATGCTCTTTCTGAGCAAAATCTTGATCTTCAGAGTATTGAAAGCATTCAAAAGAATGGGAAAAGAGAGAGTAGGAATAGATTGCACAAAGTATAGCACCTGTCCTTAGTGTACTTCTTGCTATTCTATGATTCATGTAGCTGCTCAATCATCTACAAGCCTTTCTTCCAACTACCTTCCCATTCTTTTGGGAACGTTTCAAATTTCTTGAGAAGTGAACTGCAACAGTGAATTCTGAAAAGTAACTAGGTTTACAGCTATTTATTAATTGCGTAAGTTAGACACAAGGGAGCTAACCTGGCTGTAGAAGGGGGAGGATTTCATTACATGCTTTTTAAAAAGAATATACATGACACTCCTCACAGGACTACTTCACAAAAAACTATGAAAGTAGTATATTCCAGCAATAGTTATATGCGAATTCATTTGCAATTACAATTTCCAGTCTAAGGTAAAATAGATTTATATGCATTACGTACAACATAATTGTCTGGTAAAGGGTATAGACAAACTAAATCCTGCATTTGTACAGTTGTGATAAGAGTGCTTCAGAATACATCCAAGTAGCACATACATTTGCCTAGCTCCCTTGGATATAAAAAGGGATGCAGTTTAGAATTTGATAGTATTATATAAGATAGTACAAACACTATAAGCAGGCAATTTGTCAAGTTTTGTCTTTTATTTTTGCTGTATTAACTGATGAAGGAACTGAACAACACAATCACATAGATGTTGTTATCAGGTCCTACTCAAGTGCCTGGTTATTTGTCTTCCTGAGAAGCCCATAATTATTACTAGACAGGATATTTAAGAACAGCTTTCAGTTTGCAATATTATAATCAATCCAACAATCAACACAATCAAGAGGAAGAAAAAAGCCCCCAAGGTGCCTCATATTTTTTTTTATTGCACCAAGAGTTGCAGAGAATTAACTGAAGCTTTTAAGTTTTACACAGCTGTTCTTTGGCTAAGACCACCTTAAAAGCTTTCATCCACCAGGAAAAGGTTGGTCTGAAGGATACACTGACTTTTGTCTTAAAAAAAAAAAAAGCACTAGCTACCTACCACTGAGGAAAGAAGCAACCAGGCTTCAGTTATTGAAGAAATAAAGAGAGCACAAAACTGGCATAATAGTGTTAAATAGCAGTAGAGTGGAAGAACTGAATTTGGTAAAGTCATTAGCTGTTATATTCTGGAACACAGAGCCAGCCACTGGCAGACTACAGAAACCAGGACACTGCACAAAATTAAAAAAATCCATCAGCGAACAAGGCTTTACTGACAACTTTCCATATATTTTTTAAAAGTAAGAACACGGCAGACAGTGTCACATAGTAAAACAAAATGGGATTCATTAAAATGGGTATTAAAAATATTAGAAACTAATACAATTGTAGAATTCAGTGGGAGGACTCTTAGGGCCTCACTCAAAATAATTGGCCTTAAAAGCAACCAGGCAGTGTGAGACATAAAGAAAACACAGAATCAGAACAAGGGGATAAAGAGGAAATGGATACAGAGTAAATACTAGGCAGTGTCTTTGACTATCACTATCACCATATGTTCTTCTTCTAACTTTCCCAATGTTCTTAGGGCGGACTGGAGGTACTGCTGAGAAAATTCACAAGGAGGAAAAGCATAAAGCATGCCTGTGCTGTCTCTGCCCTTTGCCCCTCCCACAGGAAGGCTGATGACTCCTGCAGCCTGTTTTTGTTTCAAGTAAGAGACCAGGTTCCTGAGAAGCCGTCTTTGTAAGCCAGGCTCCGCCACTGGGAAGGTCCCTTCAGCACTTGCTCCTTGAGCAGCCTGGGTAGCTAGTAACACAGCATAGCCATTAGGGCTCCCTTGCTTGATGCGTCGAGTTACTTCATCCAGTTTGGGTTGATCCAACCGAAGTCTTTGAGCAATCTTAAGCTGTGTTAACTTTCCACCAGACAAATGGTCTTTCAGAAGCCCGTTGATGACTCCCAAGTCTCCTTCAAGAATGTGCATAGATGTAGGGAAGCAGCTGTTTTTAAGGACAAGTAGCCCATTCCAAGCAAGCTGCAGGGTATGGGCATAATCGGATAACGTTTTTAACTTCTTTGTTTCAGATTTGGGCTCTTCATGAGCCTTTGATTCAGACTCACCAGTTCGGTGATTGCGTTCACTGTCTCTTTTTTTAGGCTGAGGAGGATCAGAGGTTTCACGGTGAGGTTTCTCCTCTAATGCATGTCGATTATTCTGCAGCGAATTATTTTGTTCTTTCTCTGTGGTAGATTCTGTAGTGTGATTCTCCTTCCGAACCCGATCTGGGCTGCGATCTGCTCCTGGCCCACCAGCCTTTGTCCTGGCTCTCTCCTCATATGGCGAATGAGTAGTCCTCCCACGGTCATTGGAAAGGCTACGACGTTTACGCCTTTCCTCCCAGGGCTTGAGAACACTGCGATCACTATCGCTGCCCCAACGTTCTCCACTCCGGCTGCGTGCTGAACGACTGTATGCCTCCAAATTATTTCTGCGCTCTGCATTTTTGAGAGAGCTGGCCCAATCGGCCTCTAGAAAGCTCCTTTCCCTGTCTGAGTAAAGGAGATGAGGAGGAGTCCTATCCCTCACCCTTAAGTCTTGCTCCAGACTCCTGTGTCTGCTATAGCTTTCGGGGAGTAATTCATAGTGTACAGGAAGTGGTGCAGGTTGATACTGCTGAGGATAGCGGGCTTCCTCAGCTTTAGCAAAATCCACTCTAAGTCTCCTGTCTGGACCGCCCAAAGGAAAGCCTCTCATTTGTGCACAGGCAGCTTGAGCAGCATCCAAACTCTCGTACTGAATATAAGCAAAGCTGTCCCCCTTTACATAGTCAATAGTCCTAATGCTACCAAAGCGATCAAACTCCCTAGCAAGAGCAGCTAGGGAAGTACTTGGACCAAGGCCACCAACCCAAAGTCGGGTAGTCGGGTTGGCTTTCCCATAGCCAATTTTGATAGGGTTTCTGCCAACAACCCGCCCAGACATGGCAACCTTGGCCCGATGTGCCATGTCCAGGTTTTGGAACTTAAGAAAGGCATAGGCTCCACCTTGACCCCGTGCAGGCCTCTTGATCACCACTTCCTCAATGATACCGTATTTTTCAAAGGCACGCCTGAGTTCCACCTCAGAGACATTGTGATCAAGATTGCCAATGAAGAGATTCCGGGTAGCTCTCTGGTCATCTTCTGGCATTAAATCCTCCTCAGCCACCAAGGGATAGCTGTAAGGACGGCCCCGTTCATCATATAACCCATAGTAATCCAGCACCCTTTCCCTTTCTCGAGAAAGTCCCAAGGCAACAGCTTCCAAGGCAAATGCTGCTGCTGCAGCTTGAGCGTGTCGAGGTCTAGGCTCTCTCAGCAAAGGGCTGGCAACAGGAGACAGCGATCTCTGTTTATATGGATAAACACCATGGATAGGAGGGAGAAATGCCAAGGGTTCAGGAGAGGGGGTAGGTGGAGGAGTACGGCTCCGGCGGCCCCCTCGCAGGTACACAGGCTCCACCTTCAGAGGCCGATCATAAAGGAGAAGCTGCCGGGCTCTAGCGTGCCGTCGAGCATCACGGGCATCTGCCGGGTGCCTGAAGTTAACGTAAGCAACACGGCCAAGTTCAGGTGTGTGGGACAGCTTGACGCTAATGTCACTGGCACCGCCGCTAGCGAATCTCTGGAACTGGCGAAAGAGGCCATCCTCCAGCAGCTGGTCAGGTAAGGCTGGGCCCAGGCCACTCACTAGCAGAGTCTTGTAGTCGCTGGAGCCAGGAGGCTCACCTGCCAGAGTCACCCCTGCCGGCAAGCCAAGGCCAGGGGCCAAAAGGAGCGACGGGGCTGCCACGGGTGGAGGCCCACCCAGAAGCAAGGAAGGGGCGACCACCGCCGCAGCGGTCACTTTGCTCTTGGCGAGCCCCAGCGCCCGAGAAGACGAGGATGGGGTAGGCGGGACGGCAGGGGCCGCGGCGGCGGCGGCGGCGGTTTGGCTGCTGCTGGTCCTGGCGCTAGAGGAGGCTGCGCGGTGGTTCGAATCGCCTCCGCCTCCCGGCCGCTCCTCCCCGCGATGGCTCCGCGAGCTGGAACCGCCAGCGGCAGGCTTGTCCCGACTGCTGCGCGACGAGGCGGAGGTGGAAGCGGATGACGAGGAGGAGGCGCCCGAACTCCGGTGTGGGCCCCGCCGGCTGCTGCTGCCGCCGCCACTGCCGACACCGCTGGCGCTGCTCTCGCGCTCTCGAGGCCTTTTCGTGGAGGAGGCGCCACGTGTGCCCCCGGACCCGCCCGGGCTGGAATCCCGCTCGGTCGCCCGCTTCATGGCTTCAGGGCCCGCGATTCAAGAGGCGCCTCCGGCGGCAGCTGCCATCTTGGACAAAAGGGAACGAGCGAAGGCGGCTCTGCCCAGTTGCCGCGCCGTGCGCTTCTTCGACGTCATCATCCTGCGCCCATCAGCGTTAGAATTAGGCGGCGCGGGTGGCTGTCTCGCGCCGTGCTCCTTTATCGCCCCGCGAGCGGCGTCCCGCCTGGCTCTCTGTGGCAGACGGTTCGCGCTGGTCTTTTCGCGCCTGCGGACCAGGGAGCGGAGCCGTACAGCGGGCGACCGAGGGCTGGGAGCATCGGGTCAGGACTCCGAGGACAATGCGCTGCAGGTCGCAGACTTAAATACTGCCAAGCCTTGGCCTGGGGGATTGGGCGCCTGTTTTGATATAAAACTGCAGTGATAGCCAGTTAGAATCGCTAACTTAGAGGCACACAGGCTTCAGCTCCAAGTACTGTACGCAACTCTCTGATCGCCAGAATGGACGAGATCATAAAGTAAAAGTTGTGTTACGGCTTTTTAAAAACAAGAGGAATGGTCAGTTATTATGAAGGCAGTTATTAAACTGATCCGACAGAATTTCACTTCCCGTTTTTTCTAAACGACTGATTCTTTCGGAGATGTACCGAATTACTTGAATAGCTTGCAGCTGCAGTTTCAAGCCTATTAAAAGGGAATTACTATCCTGTTTAATGAAAACAGGAACGACCTTTTTCAAGTGTTTTTTACATCAGTTAAAGTTTAGCAGGACAAAGTAAAATCTAGTCTTTTTAGTTTAGCCTGTCTGTCACGCAGACACTCATAACTTAATAGGCTCATTTAATTTCTTCAAATAAGGTTTGTAACAATTTGTGTATGCTGTTTTCTGATTCAATTTCAAATGATTCATTGCATGTAGGCCATCACATCCAATCTTATAAATTCCAATATAAAAAACCTTATAAAGACCTGATCATCAGGTTCACAATACCTATTTTTCAATATTATTTCAAAATATGTATGAAATAAAAGTTCCTGTAGAGGTGGCTTACTGTTTTCCCATTAGTTTCCGGTGATATAACATTCTGCAAAATGTCCTGTCCAATAGCTGTTCCCTGCCAAACCTGTCCAAATCATCCCACATCAAACAAAGGAACTGGAACTCCTGTATATATTTAAAACCCAGAGGGGCTTTCCTGAACAAAACTAACAATTCTGAACAGTTGTCTCGTTTTGTAACACCTCAGTGTTTTCACACATTAGTCAAAAATAAAGAAATTCTTGTTTACAACGATGTTTTTCTCAAAAATGAATCACACGGATTTAATTCCATCCTGAGCAGAAAAAAACTTAAATTTATACAATCTGAAATGCCGGTTACCCAGAACTAAGAGTCAGCACAACACAAGTTGCTTTAACAGTTTATATTATGTGCATCATATGAAAGTAGAACTCATCCTCTTTAAAAAAGTGTACATCAGTATATCTTCCCCTTCTGCCACTGCATATTTGTAGTTGAATAAGAAAGGATTGTCATATGTACTGACAGTGGAAATAAAGACAGAATGGACACCTTTCTTATTCAGAAAAATTAACTCCTGTGAAAGATGTGCAAGACGAGCACTTAAAATATTTAATTTGGATATGTAATAAAAGTGTTCAGCATTTTAAAGAATGGAATGTAGAAAGACAGTAATAACAGCAAATGCAAGCTATACTGTCTCTTAGGTCATCTTCAAACCATTGTTACTTAGGTACTGCTGGAAAAGTGCAAGATTCAGTCATGACACTAACTAATGCCAATTCTTTTAGTTCAACTGACACTAGATTTCATAACTTTTATTTAAAAATCCCATATGTATGTCAAAGTCTTATAATAAATCAAAAACAATAGAAATAAAAACTTAAGACATGACGAGGCATCTGAACCAGCATTGCAAGAATCCCTTCAATTTGATACTTGAAACCCAGTTAAATAAGTTACAAAAAACAGCTTTCCGGGAAAGAAAAAGTTTAACGTAGTTTGTGTATCTTGCTAATTGATAGAGGTCACTATGGTGGTCAGAGATCTGTCCGCGAACTGGCTGCTTTTGGTGCATATTTAGGCATCAGTTCATTGATTTTACGAATGTAATCTGATTTTTCTGCACAGCCCTTGCATGTTTCACCCCAGTCGTCTAGAATTTTTTTCAATTCTTTGACTCTCAGTTTCTTCAGGTCTACAGTACTCAGGTCAATCTGTTTATCTGTGAAAAAGAAGTACATATTAATATATGATGCATTAACTGTCCAAGTGTTAGATGATTAATTTATATAATCTGTTTCCTGATGCCAATCATTATTCAGCACTTGATCTTGCATATGGTAAGACAATGATGAAAGTTATTCCTCAAATTTGTCCACTATTTCCCCCTTTTTGTATCTTTTGTTGAAAAAAAAAAGATATACTTACTGGAGATTATAAAAGCATATTGTTATTGTTGGCCCGTTTTTTGTCAAAAGAAGGGCATGGATAGCCCTTAGGAGGCTTACAGAGTGTTCCTGGGGTGGGGGGCAAAATTGAGCAAAAAGCGCCCTGTTTTTTGCTCATTTCTGCCCTCCCCAGCCCCAGGAGCACTCTGAAAGCCTCCTAAAAACTATACATACATTTTGGTGAAAATGCTGTATTCAGTGTATAAGAGGCACCCAGATTTTCAGCCTCTTTTGAGGTTCCACCACAAAACCGCGTTCGACTAAAGCGCGCTCGACAAAACTGCGTACCTGACGTCATCAGTGTGAGACGAAAAAAGCACGCTGTGAGCGCTAAAGCTAAAATTAACCCCGAAACCTAACCCTAACCCCCCGAAACCTAACCCTAATCCTAACCCTTAACCTAACCCTAACCTTAACTTGAATCGGCTTGCTTTCAAAGCGCTTTTTAAAGCGCCCTTTTTTCTCCGCGGTCGCTGTTGTCGCGCTGCTGATGACGTCAGCGACGCACTTTAATCGGGCGCACTTTAGTGGACCACGGTTTTGTCGTGCCACGTCTTTTGAGGGGAAAAGGTGCGTCTTATACTCCGAAAAATATGATAGGTACTCCTCAACTTACAATTCATTTACTACAACAGCACTGAAAAAAGTGGCTTTCGTCCATTTTTCACACTTACAACAATTGCAGAATTACCACAGTCAAAATGTGGATGCTTGGCAACTGGTTCATATTTATGACGGTTGCAGTGTCCAGGGGTAATGTGATAAACTTATATGATTTTCTGACAAGCAAAGTCAATGGGGAAGCCAGATTCACTTAACTTACTAACTTTAGCAACTGCACTTAGCAACAGAAATTTTGGACTCAATTGTAATCATAAGGCAAGGACTACTTGTACTAGATTTGGGCTCAAAATAAATTGTTAATGTGTTTTTAGTAGATTTCTAGTATTGTAAAAAATGCTCTTTAAGAGCATCCAAACCTGCAACTGATACAGAATGTGGCAGCACAGGCAGTTATACATGCTCCTAAATCAGCACACATTATACCTCTGCTCTACACGCTGCATTGGTTACCAGTATGTTTCCAGGTTCAATTCAAGGTGGTGGTATATCTACCATCCTATTGGGACCAACAAGAGAGGCATTTTATGGGTCCTATCTACAAGAGTGTCATCTCCATGGACCAAGGAAGAAAGCATTTTCTGTCATGGACCTCACTCTATGGAACATCATTCTCCTGAAACTCCGATTGGTCCAAACCTCCTGGCTTTTAGGAGGGCCCTAAAATCTACTGCTGTGCTTGGGTGTCTGGAAATGGTGGAGGGCTTTTATAATGGCTTGTTGAGCTTATGTAAAGATGGTTCTGCTACTGATCATCATAATTGTTTTTTTAAATTATTACTGATAGTTTTACATGTTTATATACTGTTTTAGCTTGCTTTTAATGGACTGCTGTTGTTAACCTGATGTAAGCTGCTAAGATTCATTTCAGATGAGAGGGTGGCCATACACATAAAACATATTATTACTATTATTCCCAAACATTACCAATTTGGTAATGAAATAAGTGTATCTTTTAGCTGATAAACAAAGAATTGTTGTATTTACTTGGAATATATTTTATTCAATGAGGCTTATTCTTAGTATTTTTTCTATTATCTTTATCCTACAGTATTTTCAATGTTTAAACTAGATCTTTTTACTTCTCTGACAGTACAATTACTTCAAGTGATCCAATAAAGCAAAATACTGGAATAGTGATGACAGAAAAATAGATATTCTTCAGAGTTCATTACCACAAAATATTATATCTTAAGGAGGAAACAAATTCATGAAGGATACAAAATAATTCTATGTCGTCTCTAAATCACTGCATATATTTTGAACATTTCTGTGACACTATTACTACATTAGTATAATTATTACTAATACTGCTCTGTGCATGTCTGCATTTGGACTGTTGTGAATAACAAGTAGTACATAAATATACAAGTAGTCTCCCTTGAATCGAGTTCTGTTCCAGATGTTATGGCTTTTTATTTGGTTAACAACAGTTTGTAAATGATTAGTATTGCAACCTTTGGGGATGATTTATTAGCTTCGCAGTTTACCCTACAATCCTGGGAGTTCTTGCGGTCTTCCAAATATTAAGCAAGCCCAATCCTATTTAATTTTTTAAGCATCAGCTAAATCCATCTAGCTATGACGAACTGCTGTGATTTGCAAATATAGTGAAGTATCTTTTAGTCTGTGAATCTTAACTGTTGAAAGAAAATGTTGTAGTTGGAGGATTTTCAATGCAATCCAGCATTTCTGTAATGTTATCACTTATTCCATAACCAACATTTAACTGTACTCACCATATTTCAGCTCACAGATCTGAGTATCTTTCTTTTTCAGCTTCTCACAAATCTTCTCAACAGGGATATGATGACTTAGAGGTTTTGATACCTCATTAGTTATTTTGGTGGCTGCATCACTGGTTGCTCCAATGTAATAACACTAGAAGGAAAACAGCGAAAGAAATCAGGACATTTAAAAAAAAGAATCAGGCATCTTTTGAGCATCTATAAAATTTATCAGAAGCATAGATAAAACTCAAAGTAATTCTCCCTTTGTTTTCTGATAGAACATTTCAGCATTGTGTGGTTCTTCCTTTTATTGAAAGCAACTAAAAACTAGGAAGACCCTTGTTTCATTATAAAATATTATAGTGATATATTGTTACTTAGTTTTATTTAGTTACTTATTACTACTGTTAACCTTTTAAAATAAATATTAATGGTAACATTTTTTGAAGCTAAGATAAAAAGAAAACTAGGATGACCTAGTGGCTAGTTTAAGATTATGTGCAATGTGGGAATTCTGCATTCTTTTTTTCCTAAGTTAACAAGCCTTGCTTTAGTACCTAAAGTAAATAAGAACATCTGAATGTAATCAATCCCTTGTTTTCAAACAGATCAATAATTAATACAGAGAATTCAGAAGTGATATTGTTAAATAAAAAGGGGATGTAAGCATTACTTGTAGTAGCTAGTTTTCTCAAAATAAATTAAGTCATTTCAAATCAGGTAACTCCAAGAATACTTCTGGAAACATTGCTCATAAGAACCTAGTTGTAATTTTTCTCAGGAATGTTTTCCATAATTTAGGTGGGTGTGCCAGTTCAACTTCTTTTCTAGAGAATTTACAATCACACATGCTCCATAGATCAAGTAAAATTGATCATTAACCACTGCTTGCATTTACAAAATATTTTCTAGGGTGGATTTCTTTTTCTTGTATTATTCTGTTCCTGTTGAATTTGCTACTTCCTAATTTGTTACCTAATCTAATTCAAAGTGCTAACTAAACCATAAAAAGATCTAGGGGTAGAGACTCTCCCATGATGACAGGCTTTAACCCCTCAGACATACCATATTATATATGCTGTTAGTTGGTCCATCTCTATTGCAATGCCTGGGTTCAGGATAAGCGTAATATGGCTGGACTGATTCTTAATGCTATTTCAATGCATACAACTATCTTCTGAGCAATGCCAACGTTATTGTCTTTTTAAAAAGAGTTGGATTTTTTACAATTGAAAATGTTAATCTTAAACAACATGCTGCTTGTGTACAGTTTCCCTATAAATAATTCAAATATCCTTTTCCCATTGGTTCTCAGTAGCAAACTTACTAAACTAAATTTTGTCTTATAATCAATGTAATATTTCCGCCAACTTCACACTGCTTAAAATATGACTAATTGACTGAAAACTCAAAATTTATTATTAATGCTTACAAAACGGTTTTCTTTGCCTTTTGCCTCTTTACAGAATTTCAAAAGTTCTTTTTCAATACTGTTTGGTGTGAACTCAACATTCTTCTCTTGTAGAGTTTGATAGAAGGTTCTCAGGAATGACACACACACTATGAGGGGGAAAAAGACAATGATAACTTTATTAAGAATTTAAAGGGTTTAAAAAATGAAAAAGAACATTAATGCAGAAAATAAGTTAAAAAAGAAAAATATTTTGTTCATTGTAACTTTGTTAAGTTTATAACATTGTTTTTAAGCCACATAATTTCTATTTATATTATCAAAGTATTCATTTTTATTTTATATTTGATAGCAGAAATCTTTTTAGTTTTCCAGATTTGGCAACCAAATGAACAACTATGCTCATTTTGTCACATTATAAAAATAGGAGACTTTTAGAGAAAAATAAAATATTCGTATCTCAGTCAGTATCTTCCATTTCCAGACTGTTAAACTTTCCAGAAGGCAAAGGAAAGAAACAGTGTGTCCTTTGAAAGAGAAGTGATATACGATACCACATCTTGCTTCATAGCACGCCCAGTGGTTATAAGAATGAATACACATTCCTTTAATTGTTCTGAATAGTTTTATGTGCTAATAACAAAACCTCTAAAAGATACTGGCTGATCAAATTCCTACTTTTCTCTTTTGAGAGATAGCAACTAAGAGATGCTCGTTTCTGAAATGCAAAAGATTTTAAGGAAAGCTACATACTCTTTCCTAGAAACCATTGTCAGAAATCCCAAATGTGTTCTGATTTACTGCATTATCAGTGTAGTTATAACACATTAAGCAAACAGTTAACAAAATGTAGTTATTTTTGTAATGCTTAAACTACTGAAAAGGCTGTCACTAATTTTAATTCAGGTTTGATCATGGAACAAAGTTAGTGTAAGTGAAAGTAACTGACCAACCCATAGGAAGTGTAAAACAATATAGAACCAGGAAACCCTGGGCGTTCACTTTATCACACCTGATTTAATTTATTTTGAGTTATTCAATAACTCAGAGCAGTTCAGACAGGGATCCCCATACCAGGAGGTCGTTTTGGTTTTGAGTATATGAATAGCCCCAAATCACTCATGAAGTTTCGAAAGTTAAGAGTGGGCTTGAACTTGGGTTTCCTGGCTCCTAGTCCTACATTATGCAGTACAGAATACCTCCCACCCCCAAAAGGGAAATACTCTTCAAGCTAGTAATCACTTACAAAAAAAGAACAAAGAAGATCCAGGACTGTCTCTTGCACTTTAGTGATTGACACAGCAGATACATATTCTAGTCGCCTTAAATCCCAAACTCAAGTTTAGAGGAAAGTTAGTTGCACTGATGTCTCTTTACTAGCAGGTGCGAAACTAACGCTTTTCGCCTCAGAGAAATGCTGCCTAAGAACTTAACATTTTCCAGAAATCCCAAACTCCTCTTTCTTCTTGCCTCAATCCTGACAGCAGCCCATCTCCCCGAGCCGGGGCCTTCGGATCAGTGGCACTGTAATGGTCCACACCCCTAAATCGCGGCCTTTCCCACTTTGTGAAGAGGCTTCAGGAGGCAACTTCGCAAAGCCGGCTTCCTTCCTTCCAACGGGATCAGGGGCACCAAGCAGCGGGCCCCCACCCTGTCGCCGGAAGATTATCATTTTCAAAAAAATCCAGATTTATATTTTGGGCAGGTATACTAAGCTCAACAACAATCCCACGAGGTAGCTCACATCCCTCCCGGGGATGGAAGACGAAGCCCGTGGGAGGCGGGAAAGCTCTGCCCCGATCCACCCTCGCTCCAATGGGAGCGGAGGCGGGTAGGCTGAGGCGCTTTCGGCTCGCTTCTGCCGTTCCCGCTCCAACCAGCGGAGCCCCGGTAGTCCCACGATCTCCACGGCTGACTGTTGCCGCCTCACAAAACCCTCGCTCGGCGAAGCCAAACTCACCTTCGCAGTCTCCCTCGCGCAGAGCGTGGCTGTCTCCGGGGAGCAGGATCAAGGCCAGCGCCGCCCAGAGCCCGTTAGCCGCCCGCATCCTCCTTCCACCGAGCCCGAAGCGACCGCTCACTCGGCTCACACTCAGCCCCTTCACAGCCGGCACCTTGACGACGCACTTGCCGCCCACTCGGAACCTCATTGGCTGCTTCCCCCTCTTTCCGCTCTACATTAGAGGCTTTCGTTGGACCATTCTATAACAAGCCTCCACGCTGCTTCTCTTGGTTGGCCCAGCCGTTTTCAGGACGGGCGAGTTGGCGGCCGCCGATTGGACGAGCTTTTCCGAAGGAAGACGAGAGGCGCGCATGTGCCACTAGGCCGTAACCAATGCCGGATCTCTAGCGACGTGGAAGGCAGTCGCGCCGAGCGAAGGATTCGGGAATCCCAGCCCGCGAACGTTCGGGGCGGCGTTCTCGCGCGTGGCGACGACCTCCTGTTGGCTCCGCAAAGCCAACGCGGAGTAAGGAATCCCCTTGCTCTCGCCCACTCTGGAGTTGCAGCCCCGGACGGTGACTCCCCCGCCCCTAAGTGTGGGAGCCCTCAGTGTGAATGAAGGGCCGCTCTACTGCTCTCATCAAGCAGCCTCGTTGCAAGTGGACCGCCTTAAACGGCCTTCCAGTCCCATAACGCCGCCGGTCACAGTCCAGCACGGGGAGGGCGCCGCTTTCGGGAAGGCTCCTTGGTGTTAAGGGGATTATAGGTGCATGGATGCTCCTCTGAGCCAGGAAAGTCGGCTGAGTGCCGCCTGCTTCTAGTCTGGCATCTGAAATAAAAAGAGCCAATCTGAGTCAGGGCACCGGGGTCAGAAGCTTTAGTCCTCCGAACTTTCGGACTATTGTTGGAGACCATCCCCGGGGAATTTCTGGAGAGGATGGGCTCCAGCACGAGTCCGAAAGCTCGGAAGACTAAAGCTTCTGGCCCCGGTGACCGACCCGGATTGTATCCTGGAACATTATGACGGGACACGTATTTGCCTTCATTCGTGAAATAAAAAAACAAAACACGGAAGAACCATTCTAGCTTCCCCAATGGTCAAGCATTGCTGACAACACCGTTCTCCACTGGATGAAAATAACCCAGGAGCAAGGCTATGCTTTAAAAAAACCCCATAAAACTGGGCTTCAGACAAGTGTTCGTTTGTCTGCCTTGAGAAAGCTTCCTCCAGTGAAATCATTCTAACATTCATTATGCCTGGTAAAAAGCCAAAACTAGGATGAAATAAATTTTATTGAAATATGCAGAAATTGATGATGATCAGGTAAAAACACTGATTTCATATTTTTCAATTTTTAATAGAGAAAAGGAGTTCCAGAATGTCTATTTTTTTGCATCTGCTATTCAGTAGTACATTAATGTTTCATTTTATTGTAGCAGAATGTTTTGCTTTCTATATACCAAAATGGAATTATTCTTGCATTTTTAGTGGCTATGCACTCTTTCAGGCACTTGTTTCTATTTTATCCTCTTTTTGTTCTATGGTACTGGTTACCGATTAAAAAAAACTTTAATTTTTATAAAGTGATTTTGGGAATCAACTAATGTTAATCTCTAATATTCCTGAATAATGCCAAATCATTGAACATTTTAAATTTTTTTGTATATATTTATTTCCTCCTCCCCTTCCTTTTCCTCTTCCTCCTCCTTTTTCATTGTTGGCCCAAAACAGGTCATTATTGATACATGTTTCTGGTAGTAGCTGATATATCAGTAGACGGACCAGGCTCTGCATTCCTCCACATTCACATAATGTGCTGTTATCTGCTAAGAGCCTCCACTTACATTAGGCAACTCAACCTATTCTGGGTTCCAAGAAGTGTAAGGGAAGTCAAATCCTTCAGCCATATCCTCCTTTAATTTTATTCCTTGCTCAATGGTCTCCTTCCTCCATCTTTCAATTTGCTTTTATTCTTGTGTACTCTCAAGAATGTCTGTTGTTGCTATAAAGCTTTTCCTAGATCTGAGTTGGTGGGGTGTGGGGCATATATCCATTCAGAAGATGTCAATCATTCTCTTGCTTAGTTCTCTCGGCATCTGCTGCTACTTCTCTCCTGATCTTAGGTGGAGCAATACCAACAAGAGAATATATTTTATCAATTGGTGTAGGCTTGAGACAACCTGTCAGTAAATGTACTGCTTCATTGATGGCGACATCAACTTGTTTTGCATGTGCAGAGTGCCACCCTGAAGCACATACTCTGCTGCAGAGATGCTCTAGGCCAAAGCTGATGTGCACAATGTTGAGCTCCCCATTTGTAGTTTAAAAGATAAAGGTTCCCCTCTCACATATGTGCTAGTTGTTCCTGACTAGGGTGCGGTATCCATCTCCGTTTCAAAGCTGAAGAGCCAGCACTGTCTGAAGACATCTCCGTGTCATGTGGCCGGCATGATTCAATGCCAAAGGTGCATGGAACGCTGTTACCTTCCCACCAAAGGTGGTTCCTATTTTTCTACTTGCATTTTTTACTTGCTTTCGAACTGCTAGGTTGGCAGAAGCTGGGACAAGTAATGGGAGCTCACTCCGTTACACGGTGCTAGGGATTTGAACTGCTAAAGTGCTGATTTTTTTTTACTACTGGCCATAACCATAACCTAACCACTACTGTGGTTATGGCTTGGTGGATGTGGCTTGGTTTGGTGGGCGTGGCTTGGTTTGGTGGG